GGGAAACAAAGATAAACATCAAATCTACCTTTAAAAGAAGAACACAATTTCCCACTCTAGCTATGGCTGATTCATTCCCTGAGCATGAATCCTCTTTTACCCTCCTTGTTTCTTACTATAAACTGAGCAGATACACTGAGCTGGAATCTCCTCATAGGGATCCTGATGGTGAAGCTAATATTTTAGATGGAGAACAGCATTCCCAAATGGTTGTATTTATTACTTTTGCAGTTATTATTTCTATGTGCTGTGGCATTTAATTCTAATCTGTGTTCATCACACTGCTCCATATGCAAGCAGCTGTAGTAAAAAGATAATTAAGGGGGAAGAAAGGAAATTTTAAAGTGGATCTTCATCCAAATACGATTAAGACAGCAAAAAAGGAAATAGCCCCATTTTCATTCCTATACCCATGCCATTTCCAAATTAACCTTCCAATAGTAACATGAAAAATAGAAGTGGTAAAACTCTAACCTAATGATCTATACAAAAAAGGAGACAATCTACCTCAGGAACTCACTACACAGTGCAATATATTCAAGTGGTGAAAAGATATAAATTCATCCAGAACTGCCATACTATCTGGCTGTCAGTATAGTCTCTTGAGTAATTATATTAAACATATTACTACAAAATGTATCAAGAAGTAGAGAATAACACTATATTTGTGAACTACAAGTAACAAAACAAAACAGAGGTCCAAGAAGGCTGAAGTCCAAGCTATAATTTACACACAAAGTGTACGGTGAAAGCAGTCACAATGTACAAAAATGTGACAAGTAATCCAGATGTTTAAAAAAACAGAGCCTGTTTGTCTCAGACAACATCCAGTCTTATCCGGTAGGTTTCTGATAAGCCTGTTACATAAGGTGGATTTCCCTCCTGCTGATAAGAAGCAGCTTGCAGATACCCATAAATTTCTTAAGGGGTGAGTCTACTTGGCAATACTGATAACTCCATAGCTTCCTATTACATTCATTGGTCTGAAAACTGAAAACAACTCATAACCCAACTCTTCTTCCAAGTCCTTTACCAGTTTTTCAAGTTTTATATCAAATGAAGGTTGGAATGTATTGCTTCTTCTCCTCAACAGGCATTTCAAAAAGAGGGTAATTAACCAAAATCAAGAGTTCTTTGGTCAAGTTAGTAACAGGCTTCCCCTTTGTTCTAAATCCCTTCATAATCCTTTTTTTTCCAATTTTTCCAGTATGGCCTGGATTTTACAAACAGCCTCCTTCCTGGCCTGCCGGACAGAGTCCTGGCCCCCAGTTTCAACTGAATCCAGTTCCAAAAGTTCCTTGGTTAGCATTTCTTCCAAAAGCCAGTATGCTTTGTCTGTCTTTTTTCCTACGAACTCTTCTACTTCTTGCTCAAGATACTGGACCTTCTCCAGCACATGTATGATTTTTTTAATACTTGGGAGAGTCCCTTCATCTGAAGATAAACACTCTTCAGGAAGATTATGACTCTGATCTTGATTGCTGGGATGTTCGTTGGTGGCATTACCATACAGCTGAGGCTCAGCAGTATATTGGACTTGGGAATCCAAGAGCTCTGAATTATCATTGTTCACTGTTCCCGAGGACTCGTACTGATGGACATGGACACTGCAAGGAAAGTTGTGCCGGTTCATGCCTTGATCTGATTGGCTATAGGGGTATGAGGAATCCTTGGAGTAGGAGAGCAAAGAGGGGAAAAAAGCTGTTTTAATGGGGATCCATCAACATCAGATTTGTTAGCCCACATCTTTCACCTGACCAGGAAGGTACATGAAAAGACTCCCCACCCATAAAAGTGGACAGCCCTCCTTAATCATTTGAGAAGAATACAGCCCTAAAAAGATAAAAGGCAGAGAATTCCTGAGTATAAAGGCTGGAATCTACCCTGAGACAGGTCATCATCATGAACACCTCATAATCTATCCTTACCACCTCACAATCTGTCCAGTGACTTAATAAATAGGAATTAGAGAGTTTTTTCCCCTAAAGAGATAAAACCTGAAGACAAATCTTAAAAAGGAACCTGGCCACAAGCAAATGATGTTCATGTGTGTGTGGCTTCATAAAACCATGCAATTTCACATTGGTTTTGTCTTCTGTCAGGAGACTGAGGTAATAAAATCTAATCTTTGATTTTGTCTAACATTCCGATGGTATTACAACTAATTTAGTAAATAAGCATTCTCCTGTCGTTTAAAAAAAGGAAGTGAACCTAAAACTGCTCTAAAAAATAAAGTCTATTTTAAATAAAAAGTAAACTGGGCTAGGTAAAGCTATAGGTATCAGCCACCAACATTCTGAAGTTAGTCCCCATTTAACACAGACCAATGCAGAAAAAGTTCCACGCTGCGCTCTCTTAATTACCCAGACATTAAGAGGACAACGTCTAGAAGCCTCCTACCTTGGGCTGTGGGGCTGGGGGGGAAGGAGGTGGCCGAGGAGAGCCACTGCTCGGCCATGATGAAGCACTCTCGCTCACGTAGAGACTCCCAGGTGGTGCTGAGGGGGCAGCTGAAGGCCAGGGGTAACGGGCTCCCATGCCATAAGCACCCGGAGGAGCCCAGGAGTCCCCCTGGGATCGTACAGTTGGTCCTGGTTGTGGAACACTACGATTACCATCCCCATAAGGATAATGGGGCACGCTCATTCCAGGGTTCTAGATTGAGAGGAAGGAAATACACTGGTCATTGGTAAAAAACACTTAAAGAAGTAATGAAAATATTCTAGTGTAAACAGATTCAGAGATGCTTCCTCTCGGCTTAACAGGGTATATTTTAGCTGCTATGGGACTAAACTGTAGTATTTCTAATAAGTTGCAAATATTTTCTCCAAACCTAAAAAAAGCTTGGTTCCAAAGATATCAGAGGCAGATTTGGTGACCATCAAACTCAGAAAAATAGGGCCTAAACTTCAGTGGCTGAAGCACAGCATAAGTCTGTCCCACAGACACTATAAATAAATGGACCCATATGCTATAAGGAAGCACAAATAAAGACATATTAGAACTCTCCTTGAAGTGAACAGAGAAATAAACATGGGATCATTCATAGAATATTAAAAAATATAAACCTAACCTTTTGGGATTCCGTGGTGGCATAGTGGTTAAGAATCTGCCTGCCAATGCAGGGGACACGGTTTTGAGCCCTGGTCTGGGAAGATCCCACATGCCGCGGAGCAACTAAGCCCCTGCGCCACAACTACTGAGCCTGTGCTCTAGAGCCTGCGAGCCACAACTACTGAGCCCGCGTGCCACATCTACTGAAGCCCACGCGCCACATCTACTGAAGCCCACGCGCCTAGAGCCCGTGCTCCGCAACAAGAGAAGCCTTGGTACCATTCATTAATATGAAAAAATAAAAACACAACAGACGAATGCTCACCTGTGAAGCAGGATATCCTGGAACCTGCCCCCTAAGAGGGGCTGCTTCAGTCTGGCAGTCCTGCTGGGGATACATCCAACGAGAGACTGGGGTTGGGCTGTTGCCAGGTGAACGGTAAGTGCTTGGAACCTCTGTGGAGTAATTGGTCTGAGCATACCCGGATGTGTAATAAGCCCCTGGGTATGAGGCAGTATTTGTCCCAGGGCCAGTGGGGTATGGTGGGCCATATGCTCCATTTGTATAAGAATTCAAACTCTGTAAAAAAGCAAAGTTGGGAGAAAAAAATACATGAATGAGTAGATGAGCTGAAATGCCCTCACTTCGAAAACTTTGAGAAGAAAGGAGATCAGTAACTAATGAAAATATGAACTACCTAAGCAACCCTTGAGGTATTCTTTCATATATTATAATCATATACATATATTAAACTCAGATTATCACCTTAGAGTCTCTGTCATAACAATGGGTATATTGTGATGAAGGATGAAGTGATGGCCTTTAGTGCTTCTCAGCCATTTCCATAAGTGCACCTAACAATTGCACCTAACGGCAGGGAACTTGTCCCCACAAACTGAAGAGGGTGTTCCGGGAAACCTGGGAGAATGGCGAGAGAAAGAAGAAAGTAACCATAATACAACAGAAAGAAAAAAAGACCACAGAGAAAGACCTAGTCCTGCCATTGGCTTTGTGTTTACCCTCTCTGAGCTTTAGTTTCTCCAGCAGGAAAATGGAAATCATAAACATATCTTGCAGGGTTATTGTACAAATTAATGAGATGACATATATAAAATGCTTAGTATACTGTCTGGCACGTAGTATGCTCAATGATTTGCAATTTTTATAATACAAATTGTTGTTAGTATTAATGTGGCAAGGTCAGGAAACGAACCCAGATCTGACTCCAAGCCCATGTGCTTTGTATTGATACTATCCTACTCTGCTTCCCCAAATGATAATAGCAGACAGAGACAAATTCCTCATATATTGCTTACTGCAGTTTTACATCATCTATCCAGACTATTACTGACACCCAGAATCCTCAGTTCAGTAATCCAAACAAGATTAAAGCTAAACTCTAAACGATTACCTTAACGTTTTCTATTAATTTCTACTTTACCTTGTTAAAATGGTAAAAACAGAATCAAGTTTTCCTGGACTCATCCTTCTAAAACTAGACAATCTTTCCCATTTTAGGTAGAAGAATAAGAATCGTGATATTAACTAGACTTATCATGGTGATCATTTCACAGTGTATACAAATATCGAATCATTATGCTGTACATCTGAAACTAACGTTATATGTCAATTATATCTCAATTAAAAAAAAAAAGAATCCTGATATCTTCTACAGTTGTTAATGACTGAAGAAAATGAAATTTAAATTTGATGCCAAATCTACCACAACAAAAAGAGGGATAGACTGAAGTGTGAAGGAGGGCATAATTCTGTGGAAAACAAATTCTTAGCCACAGTTTTATGGCAAGAGGATAAAAGACAGGCTACTATCACCACACGGCCAAAGAATTCCGTGCAGGGACAGGGGTGAGGGAAAATCCAGCCAGGCATTCCTTGAGCAGCCACTGTGAGGCTAATCAAGTCTTCTGCCTACAGGCTGCTGTGCCTAACCAAACAATCCCTTATGCAACATATACAGCTGAAGACTTGATGAAAAAAAAAACATGTAACTTTTTGTACTGTTATTCAAATTCTAGAAATCCTTCCTAAGGAAATTATTCAACTAGAGGAAAAATTATAGGCATGAATTTGTTCATCACAGCATGATTCACCATCATGCAGAATTATAAACAAACTAACCATCCTGTACTGATGGAATGATTAAGTAGACTACGGGTTATTCATTGAGGAAATTTTATTCTGTCTTAAAAACTCACTGTTAGGGACTTCCTTGGTGGCACAGTGGTTAAGAATCCACCTGCCAATGCAGGGGACATGGGTTTGAGCCCTAGTCCAGGAAGATCCCACATGCCGCGGAGCAACTAAGCCCATGCGCCACAACTACAGAGCCTGCGCTCTAGAGCCCGCGAGCCACAACTACTGAGCCATCGTGCCACAACTACTGAAGCCTGCGCGCCTAGAGCCTGTGCTCCACAACAAGAGAAGCCCACGCATCTTAACGAAGAGTCGCCCGCACTCGCCACAACTAGAGAAAGCCCGCACACAGCAATGAAGACCCAATGCACCCAAAAAAATAAATAATAAAATTAATTAATTAATTTTTAAAAACTCACTGTTAGAACTGACCAGACATCTAATGATATCAAAGAATTATTTGGTTTTTTTTCCTTTAAGTTTTAATAATGGCATTGCAGTAATGTCTTTAAAACTTCCTTATATCTTAAAGATACATGCTTAAGTATTTACAAGAGACATAACATGATGTCTGGAATTTGCTTCAAAATACTCTAAGGATATATAAATGAAACATGATGGCCATGTATTGATACTTGTTGAAGCTGAGTAATGGGTACATGGGAGATTACTGCACTATTCTCGTTATTTTGGATTATGTTTGAAAATTTCCTTACTATTAAAAAAAGTTTCTGTTATTTCACCCTATAACATGTAAAGTACATATGATAAATGAAAAGTCATATTAAAAGGCATATATAAAATGAGTTGTCATATTAAAAGACATATGTAAAGCTGTGTAAATATGATAGGGGAAAGGCTGAAAACAAATTTACCAAAATATGGATATATTAGGATGACAGAATTAGTGTTTTTTCTCCCTTTTATTTCCCATGTTTAGTAATAAAGTTGTATTTTATAGTAAAAAAAAAAATATGCTATTAAAAATGTCATGACGGGTTAGGCTTCCCTGGTGGCGCAGTGGTTGACAGTCCACCTGCCGATGCAGGAGACACGGGTTCGTGCCCCAGCCTGGGAAGATCCCACATGCCGCGGAGTGGCTGGGCCCGTGAGCCATGGCCACTGAGCCTGCACATCCGGAGCCTGTGCTCCGCAATGGGAGAGGCCACAACAGTGAGAGGCTCGTGTACCACAAAAAAAAAAAAATGTCATGACGGGTTTGAACCCTGGTCGGGGAACTAAGATCCAGTATGCAGTGAGGTGCAGCCAAAAAAAAAGTCATGAAATCCCAAGTATGTCTAGAAACTGGTGGGCTGCTTGGACCACAGCTACTTCCATCTATGTCCAAGTAGACTATTTTCATGAAGGGAAACTTGTATCTAAGGATAGCAAGCTGTGATGTGAAACTTGTCAGCTGACATGGCAACAGAAAATCTGAAACTGAGCAACTGCAAGAAGAATTAAACAAAGTCTTTGATAGTCATTGAATTTCTGTAGAAGTCTCATTCTGGATTCCAGAAGAAATCAAGAGACTGGAGCTCTTAAAACTCAAAAAATATCCCAAGTGCTGCTCTTGTTCTAGAGGTAAATGTAAATATGACTTAGCATTCAAAAGTCAAAATCATGTCACATCATACGACGTCTCATTGCAAGCTAAAGATTATCCAGGAGGTAATACTTCTTCCAAAAGTTGGTTTTACAACTGACGGACTGTTTATAGATGTAGAATCCAAAGAGGAGAAAACTGATCAGGTCTCTCACTCAGAAAGTGATACACTTGTTCAATGGATTCCCTTTCCATTTGGTACATGAATATCAAACAGCAAACAGACCCAATCCAAGTGGGAAAAAAAAACTTTTTTTCCATTAGCAACACCACAATTCTTCCTGCTGTGCTTATCTTGAAAAACATGGAAGGCTTCACCACAAAAGTACTCCAAGACGTCATAATTATCAGCAGTCGACATCAACTTGAGTTTCTACTAATACTCATTTCTGGAATTGCCAAATCTATTATCATCCACTGGTTACTTCCTCATGCAGTATCTCTCCTTATAGAACTATTCCAATTTTTGTCTCACAGGAGCTCCAAACCACAGTACTTAATAAGCTGTATTTTACAACCCAGGTCCCCTTTAAATTAAATGAAAAGGTGTTATAGGTTCTGATGAAGGTCCTTTTGTATCATGATTTCTCAATTCAGAACATTATAAGAGGACTTCAGTTTTGTTTCTTAGAGCATTTCTATTCCCAGGCACTCAGTGTTCTGTGGTGTGATCTCCCAGAACCCAAGAGAATTAGCTTCTTTATCAGAAAATCATTGTGAAAACATAGGTCTTTCATCCTTTAGATACATGGAAAAGAAGCTTTAGAAAAACAAGTTGCATTCATGACCAATGAGAGGATTTTAAACAAAACACCCCACCACAATCATTACTAGAGAAGCTGTGTATTTATCATGCTTTTCCCAAGTACCCACTGGGTCAATGGATCAGAGCTACGACACGCATGTTTACAAACGATCAGCGTCGGAAGAACATATGTTAGCCTTGCAGTTGCTACAGACGTTGACTAAGGATGAGCTTATGATCATAGTTCAGAAATGTTCAAATTTTTAAGTCTTCTGAAGAGTAGCCTGGCAGCATAGCAAAGAAAATAAAGGAGTTCTTGGTCCAGTTTCAAAGCCCTGATACAGAGGCCAAAGAGAAAGAAAATACTGGGGCTTCAGAAGACAGTCCTTGATGCAAATGAAGGCGTTAAAAGCAAATAAGAAGCAATCTTAGTTTGAAGAACTCAGAAAATACCTCATGAATTTCATCAACAGTCTGGTGAGCCCAAGTCTTCTGTTCTGAGCTGGTTTACTTCATGCTGCCTAAACCTGCTCCACAGACCGTCCGACATGCTCCTCAACAATCCTTACTATTAGCTGAAAATGAGGAAAGCTGTATTTCAAAGACTGTCCCCTGTTCCTGCGTAGCACATAGACTGCACCTGAACACAACAGGCTAATCAGCTTTGGGGACTGCTCAGGGGCCCTCCCAACATTCATCGATTCTGAAGAAACGGATGTAAATTCCACATTACCGGGGGGAAAGTGCATGAAATTACGCACTCCCGGTTTATAAGAGAAGACTGATCATATGGCAAAGCTAACGTGAGACGGCAGATAGAAGGCAAAGGAGTGAAACCATTCAATTTTTAAAAAAGGAAACCAGTCATATCTACATACCACTACAGGAGTCTGTTTTGGTCAGAAGATAAATGTATAATCCCCATGTGATGCTTCACCAGAAAATACACGTGTGCTAATCCCATAAAAGCACATGTCTAGATACCTCTGGGTTTAGAATCCAACAATTTTTTTTTTTTTTTTTTTTGCGGTACCCGGGCCTCTCACTATTGTGGCCTCTCCTGTTGCGGAGCACAGGCTCCGGACGCGCAGGCTCAGCGGCCATGGCTCACGGGCCCAGCCGCTCTGCGGCATGTGGGATCTTCCTGGACCGGGGCACAAACCCGTGTCCCCTGCATCGGCAGGCAGACTCTCAACCACTGCACCACCAGGGAAGCCCAGAATCCAACAATTTTTGTATATAAAAGCTCTCTCAGATTATTGCTGTTGCTTTCAAAAAGTCATCACTAAATTAAAAGTGAATCTTTCTTAAATATATGTAATATACACATGTAATAAATGCCTTTATCTAAGGGGGGGAAATGTCATCTCCAAAAATAATCTTTTTTTAAAAAAATATGTTGACTCCCTTTTTTTTTTTGGTTGAGTTGGGTCTTCATTGCTGCGTGTGGGCTTTTTTCTAGTTGAGGCGAGCAGGGGCTACTCTTCGTTGTAGGACGCGGGTTTCTCATTGCGGTGGCTTCTGTTGTTGCGGATCATGGGCTCTAGGAGCGTGGGCTTCAGTAGTTGTGGCGCGTGAGCTCAGTAGTTGTGGCTCACGGGCTCTAGAGCGCAGGCTCAGTAGCTGGGGTGCATGGGCTTAGTTGCTCTGCAGCATGTGGGATCTTCCCAGACCAGGGCTCGAACCCGTGTCCCTGCATTGGCAGGCGGATTCTTAACCACTGCGCCACCAGGGAAGTCCCCAAAAATAATCTTTATCAATAGGAACAACTGATGAAATCAGACAAATTAACACTGCTGAGAAAAACTGTGACTCATGACTTTGGGTTCTATCTTCCTCTTACATTAACTGTAAAAGTAATGCCTGCTACTCTCCAAATTGATCTATATGCAATCCCAATGAAAATCTCAGCTGCCTTTTGTCCTGAAATTGAAAAGTTCATTTCCTCATTGGCAACCATTGTGAAAAGTAATTTGGCTATATTAAATAAAGATGTACGTATCCAAACCCACCAATTCCACACACTAGGGAAATGCTTGTCTCATATGTTGTACAATAGAAAAGAGAAAAACAATGTTGAGTTAAAGAAAAGCAAGCTGCAGGAGAATGCTAGTACGAAACCACTCATATCAAGTTTAAAATCATGTTAAATAATACTATAAAAATGCATATACAAGTAGTAAAAGCATAAAAACACATATGAGACAATTAATATAACTTTAAGAAATGGAAAGAAGTGTTATATCGGGCTTCAACTGTATTTATTTTACTTCTTTTTAAAAATCTGAAACTTAAAAACTGACAAAGCTAGGAGCTAGATTAAAAAGAAGATGTACATATTTTCTGTACTCTTTCAGAATGCTTGAAATATTTTAAATTTAATATTTGTCATAAGAAGTCAAAATTTTTAACAACAAAAGCAAAGGCAACAAAACAAAAGCAAAATTAAAAAGTGGGATTACATCAAACTAAAAAGCTTCTACACAGCAAAGGAAACCATCAACAAAAGGAAAGGCAGGGCTTCCCTGGTGGCGCAATGGTTAAGAATCCACCTGCCAATGCAGGGGACACGGGTTCGAGCCCTGGTCCGGGAAGATCCCACATGCCACAGAGCAACTAAGCCCGTGCGCCACAACTACCGAGCCTGTGCTCTAGAGCCCGTGAGCCACAACTACTGAGCCCACGCGCCTAGAGAAGCCACCACAATGAGAAGCCTGCACACCGCAATGAAGAGTAGCCCACACACTGCAACGAAGAGTAGCCCTCGCTCACCGCAAGTAGAGAAAGTCCGCAGCCAGCAACGAAGACCCAACGCAGCCAAAAAAAATTTATTAAATAAGTAAATTTAAAAATTAAAAAAAAAGAAAGGCAACCTACTGAATGGAAGAAAATACTTGCAAATCATATATCTGATAAGGAGTTTATAAAGAACTCATACAACTCAATAGCAAAAAATCAAACAATCTGATTTAAAAAATGGGCAGAGGATCTGAATAGACATTTTTCCAGAGACATACAAGATGGCCAACGGGTACATGAAAAGGTGCTCAACATCACTAATCATCAGGAAGTGCAAATCAAAACCACAATGACATACGACCTCACACCGGTTAGAATGGTTATTCTCAAAAAGACAAGAAGTAAGTATTGGATGAGAATGTTGAGAAAAGGAAACCCTGTGTACTGTTGATGGGAATGGAAACTGGTACAGCTACTGTGAAAAACAGTATGGAGGTCCCTCAAAAAATTAAAAACAGAATTACCATATGATCCAGCAATTCCACTTCTGGGAATATATTCACGGGAAACAAAAACACTAACTCGAAAAGATATCTGCACCCCATGTTCACTGCGGCACTATTTTACAACAGCCAAGACATGGAAACACCCTAAGTGTCCATCACTGGATGAACAGATGAAGATAATGTGATATATATATATACACAATGGAGTATTATTCAACCATAAAAGAGAAGGAAATCTTGCCATTGGGACAACATGGATGGACCTTGAGGCATTATGCTAAATGAAATGTCAGACACAGACAAATACCATAAGATCTCATTTATGTGTGGAATCTAAAAAAACAAAAAAAGCCCACTCATAGATACAGAAAACAGACTGGTGGTTGCCAGAGGTGGAGCAGTGGGCTGGGGTGCAGGAACGGGTAAAGTGGGTCAAAAGGTACAAATTTCCAGCTATAAAATAAGTAAATCATAGGATGTAATGTACAGCCTGGTAACTACAGTTAACATATTGTACTGTAATATTTGAAGATTACTAAGAGAGTATATCTTAAAAGTTTTCATCACAAGAAAACAAAACTTTGTAACTGTATGGTGACAGATGTTAACTAGACTTCTGTGGCGATCATTTTGGAAAGTATACAAATATTGAACCTTTACACTGTACACCTGAAACTAATATAATGTTATATGTCAATTATAGCTCCATAAAAGGTCATATTTTTAGAAATAAGTACATTTTGCATTTGTTGTTTCCAGGTCCTGAGAAATAATCTATCATGCATCAAGCTACCTTTGCTATAGGTAGTATCTGCCTAGATGTTTCCTTATCTCTGAGCTAAAAACATTAAAATAATTAAGATAGAGTGCATTATATTAACAAAAGCCCACACACCTTCACTATGAAATCTCCACAGGTTCTGAAAATAAATCGATTCATTAAGAAAAAATTCAGAAAGTCTGTCAATTTTAGACCCTACCTGGCCTTGTATTTCCGGTCTTACAGGATATGTACTTGGGTAAGGAGCCCGAGGTCGGGCAGGAGAATTCCAATAGTTGGAACTGTAGCTAGGATATGGTGGCTGCTCCTAAGGACAAAAAGGAAAATAGATTCACTTTTACTAACATCCTTACATCATTCTGAAAAGTTGATAGAGGCAGGTATAAGTATCGAAAAAAAATAGGCAATAGACAAAAAGCAATGGAACCCCACTCTAAAATCACTCATTATTAAAATTGATGCAGATACATGGTCAATCACTTGCCCTAGAACAAAGCAAATATTAACTATTCTTGTGCATTATGCCAATTATAACAAATGATATATCTACTATGTCAAGTTAATTAGCAAAACCAGAGACATTCAATTCCTTTATTCCTCTCCAATCACTAAGCCATCACTAACTAATTTAATTAGTGCAGCACAATTGTAGTTCTTTGCCATTGTTAAGAAGAGTAGTATAATACTTACCTATCTCAACAACTTTGAAACTTGAAGTAATATTTTAATACTAAACTTTATTTAAAATGCATACACCTTCAATACTCAACTTCTTTGCCTGGCCACACCCTAGTTTTTTCATATTCCTCTACTTTCTGCTATGGCTAAGGTTTCTGCTAACTCGGGATCAGGAATTACGTAGAATAATTACCACTCCAAGGAGAAAATCTAGCTATGGCATTAATCTCTACAGCTTTCACTTCACCTCAAAAAGTTAGTGTCATCATTTTCAATAAGCCAATACACTCTGATAAGAACTAGATCAACTCAAAACTTTTCAGGCTGTTTTAATATATACATTTGTCATCCCATAAGTTGAGTTATTTTGCTCTGAGCTTTATAGTTTAATTTTAAGCTTAAAGAGGATTTTCAAATCTTCAAATATGGTTTCACAAAGAAATTCACTGGCAGTTGTAGTCTCTGAGAATTTAATTATCACCATCTGAGCTTAACTGCACTACTTACCAGTTTCATAATACTTTGTTTTCAAAGCATGCAATTATTCCACATGACATTATACAAGCTGGGCAAGTAACATCTCCCTTACATAATACAGCAACTAGAGCAATATAGAAACTAGCAACTTCAGATCCTAACAACCAAATTTCTCAATCAGGCAAATTCCCCTGACTAATCCCCCCCTTCCCCCGGTTAAGTGGTATTTGACTAATTAATTGATTTCTCTCTACCAAGAATCTGAATCTTAATTAAAGAGGTGAAGACCAGAGTTGAAGCTGACTCACTCCAGCAGTGGTGAACTAACACCTAAATCCCCAGAACTTCCTTGGTTTCTGTCCTTTTCTACGGATCCTCCGAAGTACCCCACACATTTTTACGACCTCTCCACCCACCCTGTCCTCACTCCTTCCTTACTCAGCTTCTCAGCACCTTAAATCCCTTACCACTCT